GTGCCTGTCGTACCTCCTGGTGCGGGGTTTTGTCGACCCTCAGATGCCACTGGACAGCATAATCGAATCGTCCAGTACAGCTTCCTGGTGGGGGTGGTGTCGATGCAGGGCTGGCTGCGAGCGAGTGTCGACTGTGGAAGGAAGGGGTGGTGAGCAGCGAGATGCTGAAGGGAGAGGAGTTCCGTGGTTGCTTCGTGAGGGGTCTGTTTGAGGCAGGCGATGCTCTGAAGCTGTTCGAGAAGCTACATTGTAGCTCCTCTGACGAGAGGGAGTTCATAATGCCTGCCATGCTCCAGACGGTGGCAGAGAAGGATATGGAGCGATATGTGCCTGCCCAGTGAGCACGTGTCCCTCTCTTTCTCCACTTCCACATGTCCCGCATCGCTAAAGGTGTGTTCTGCTCCACCCATACTGCATGCGCTCAAGTATGGGTGGACCACGGCTTACACCATGGTAGAAAGTAAGAAAGTTCCAGCTTGTCTCTTCCGCAATGCCGTGCGGTTGCAGCATCCGACAAATGCAGTTGAAATTACTCTTCTCCATGCTTGAAGCATTTCGAAGTTCATCTCGATGCATCGCAGGCCGACACTGCCCATCATCTGTCCAGAAATCCGTGACATGCTCACGGATGCAGTGGATAGAGCAGCGAGTGCTTTCCGCTTCAAGAATTCGCGAGCCTCTGTAGCCTTCCAGTGCCCTGCAGCCCAGACGACGTGCACACAGCCACTCCAAATGAAGCCCACTCCAACCTCATCTGCACACTGACGGGGAAGAACATTCGAGGAGGCCTTACACCTGCTCAGAGGGTGTGGCTTGGACCACGAACTGCTCAGGTGAACTTCTGATTGTGTGTGTGTGTGTCTTGTGTACACTCTGTTGTTTGATTTAAGTCAGTGTTGAAACTGATAATAGTGTTTTCTCCTCTTTTTTTGTTTACTCAGCCTTTTTGTGTAATTGCAGCTGAGACTAGCAGACTGCGGAGATGGACACAGAAAGTACTAAAGTTTGTTTTCATCCTCATCCTCAACTACTCCTTCTCACCAACATCTCTCTGCACCTCCATCAAGAATGGGTATGTTTTACACTAAGTTTCGTACAGTGAATTACTATGTAGCACATTGTGGTAGTAGTGACAATGACATGGTTCTAGTGACTGGTCACCACCACCATATCCCACTAGTGAGTCAGAAGGTTATCCATACATAATGTGGTGTCCACTCAGTGTGGTATGATGTGTGGTTTTTGAAGTTGTTCCTCATGTGTGTTCCCTGCAGTCCCCCAGTTGGTCAGTAGCTCACGGACGGGAGAGAGAGACACAACACGGAGTGGAGGTCTGCTACTGACTCCTCTCTCTCTCTCGCTTTAACCTAGTCTTCATGTTTCAAATCCTATTGTTTGAGCATTTGCTTTAGCGAGTTCTGAAATCTGATTGGTCAATTAGTTGTAGGATGGCTGCAATGCGAAGCTTATGGCAATATACAGTTACTTGCTCATGATTATTTACTTTGCGTGTTATACAGGCATCGTGGGTTATAAACACTGGATGCAGAAGATGTATGTGCAGACTATGCCTCTAAACTGACTCCCCCATGTAGTTGCGAGTGATTGTCAGTGATGGTGAGGGAGTTTTTAATATTGTGTACGAATTCTCTCTCGCCCTTCTACAGTTGCAGAGGTCCATCACAACCTGCTTTTCCTCTTTGGGTCACTGTGCATGTAATCATGAAAATATATAGTCATAGAATATAATATCAACAGAATATACTATGGGTGTCTGGTTGCGTGCGGTGGGGTCGTGTACGTCGGTCTCTGCGTGCGTCGCTCGTCGTCGTGTCACACAGTGCGTCACCGGCTGCGAGCGGCTCGCTCGTTGTGTAGAGGGTGGGACTTGCGGGTGGTGAGTGTCCGTCGGGTGGTGCGGGCGGGGGTAAGAGGGGTGGTCCTTGTGTTCGGTTAAAGTCGGTACGGGGGGTCTTTGTCCTGGGGTGGAGGGGTAGGAAGGCGGTACGGTACGGTTTCCAGGGTACGTGTGCTGGCAGGTCGCGGTACGGGTGGTTGTACGGTCGGCGTGTGTAGGCTTCCTCAAGGTTCGGAGTTTCGTTGGCGTGGTGGGTCCGGGGTACTCGGGGGGGGGGTCCTGAGGTGGGGTGTCCGGGTCGGGGGGGGGTGGTGGTCGGGTTATTTCCTCTTCTTGTTAATGTTGTACACAATTCTCCCTCTTCTCTCTCTCTGCAGCTGCAGAGACCAACACCTATCCTCCCAACACACAATTTTCCTCCACTTATCACCACCTCCAACACTCCCTCCTCCCCTTACCAGTGAGTGGTGTTAAGAGTTATTAAAGTGTGGTAGTGACAGGGTGTGTTGTATTGTCTCAGGTCCTCAAACTCTGCCTCAGTTGCTGCGTCTCAAGATACCACAGAGAGTTGGTGCCAACTACTTTGATTTTGCAGTATTTCTGCTGAACGATGAAGTTGGCAGTCGAGTAGATAGCTTCAAGCAGCAATGCCTTGGAAATCCAGAGATGATAACTCGCACAATTCTCCGGGAGTGGCTGGAGGGGAGGGGGGTGGAGCCAGTGACGTGGGAGACACTCATCAGGGTACTCAGAGACTGCGACCTCTCAGCTCTGGCTGACGAGGTTTACCAGAAACTGCCGTCATCTCACTCCTGATCTCGTGTACATCTCACCCTTGACCTCTCTCTCTCTCTCTCTCTTTGACAATGTTTGTAGCTTCACTGTATTTCATATGCAGCTAGCATTGAGCGCCAAATAGCCTTCACGTTTTTTGCAATTTCACGAGTATGCATATGGGAAGCAGCCTACGAGTTTTTTTTGCGTACTTCACGAGTACGGGAAAGCATCCTACGTTTTTTTTGCATTTCGCGAGTACAGCTAGCAGTCTACGAGTTATTTCCAGCTAAGCAGCCAATGTACATGAACTTTCCCCATTTCACAGGTACGCAAGAAGCCCACGAATTTTGTGCCATTTTTCGAAAATGGCAACCACGTATACATGTTTTCCCCCATTTCACGGGTACGCTAAGACGCCATTTAGTTTTTGTGAGTATGGTAAACAGTGAGCGTTGTTTATTTATTGCACATTTCACAAGTACGGCAAGCGGACTACGAGTTTCTCAGCATTTCACGACCACAAGTTTTTTTTGCCATTTGGCGTGCAGCACAATACTACAGAGAAATGGAGGGGAAAAAGTGAAGAGTTCACTGATAGTCAGAAGTCACTACATAGAGCCTGTCTTCTCTGGTGAATACGAAGACATTTGGAGCAGTTTCCTTTCTCATGGTGTACAGACATAGTGATAGACTGCACTGCACGACGGACACTGGGGAACAAGAATAGACGGCAAAAACATGGGATAGTGAAAATGAAATGAAAACAGAAGAAGGATAGGTGTGCTCAAGTGCGAAATTTCAAAAACCTTACCCTTATTTAGAATTACGCAAGGCAAATGGTATGAACGGTGTTGTGTACATAATGTGCATTAGTTGAGCATTTGAACCTGGTATGTGTCTCGGAGGTCAAAGGGGTAGATGACGTTGTTCCCATGGCAACCTTCACATATGAACCCCTTCTGAGAACAGAGCTGCAGAAAAGACAAGTCTTGTAAGAAGTTAGGCTGGGAGGGGGGGGGAGGGGGGGGCTGAGGAAGGATTGAACAAAACATAAGAAGTAAGGCTATGGGATTGAACAAAGTGCAGGGAGAGAGAAGGGAGGGAGGGGGGCAGCCAAAATGAAAGAAGGCATTAATAGGGAAGGGTGGAGAGGTTGTGTCTCACTGAGCATTGTCTGACATGTGTGGAGACAGTTCTGACCGTCTTCCTCATCCTCTCCAGCAGACCTCCCGAGTGGACCTCACTCAGCTCCTGTACTCACACACAAACCACAGTCATGCAGACTGACATTGACTCAGTCAGCTATTGCTCCCTCTCAATCTACTGTAGATACAATGTGAGGTCAAATTGAAAATTTGCTGTGTAGATAACTTGAGGTCAGATTTGACCTTGTAAAACTGGTGAAAGTTTGCTGTTTATAATATATTACGGAGACGACAATTTCAGGTCAGATGTGATCTCGTAGAATATTTTCTATTTTGCTGTATGGATGCACCTACCTGAATGGAGTAGCTGTGAATCTCCTCATAGAGATGTGGGGACTTTAGTCTGGAGTGTAATAGGGGATAAGTACAGTGTGTTCTGTTGAACAAAAGTTAGCTTTCAGCAAGCACTTAAACGTGGCACAGAATTAGTGAGGTGTCCTCTTTTGCAGGGGTTATTGAACTGTTCATAGGTAAACAAACATGTCCTGGTGTGTATACAGGGGTGTGGGTTCGTGCTAATACATTCTCGCTGTCCCTCCCACCCAATGAATGTCTCAACAACTTGGTAACGAGGTAGAAAGGCAAACAAGTCAACTACACCCAAAACAGCTCTTTCTTTTGAAGAGCTGCCCAGTTTCAAACCCGCGACACTCTGCAGTCTAGGCGAGCGCTCTACCAACTGAGCTACCAGAGCAACTCAGCTGGTATATAGGGGTTCGAATCTACAACACAAGGCAAGCCACAAACCACTGTGCTATGGCACAGTACACTCTCACTTAGTGTATGTATGTATATACCTCTTCGTCAATAGTTGCAGAGAGTCTTCCTGTCTACAGGTTGCTAGGTAACCTCTCAAGGAGTTCAGCTGCTGCCGGAGCCTCTGTGGAGTCACATGATCACAGAATAACACCAAGGAAAAAATACTCCTTCAGTGATGCAGTAAAACTACAAAATTTTCCGACAGACACGGTGTCTCCTGAAGTCCCAATTAAAGAGCACCCTGGAGGGGACGATCCGCTCGTCGTCAATGTGGCAGTCGAAACAGTAGTGCTGTCCGTTGTACTTGCACAGTTTGGACGCTCCAAATACTGAGAAACAACAATAGCAAAGAAACGACTCACTTTCCACAGTAACGTTGTGCTAAAAACCCACTCCATTTCCTCATTTCTCATACACTCACTTTGTTTTCAACTCTTTGAACCCAGCATTTTTTACTGGTATGTGTAGCTACAATATTTCCAAAAATAAAATCAATAATCTCTAGTCGAAATTCTGACACTTTACATGTATATACGCTGTAGCATCGATCATCCTCGCAAAGTTGGACACGCATGCCGTGGGCCCTCCTCTCGGGCGTTTAGATTTCACGGACATTCCGTCTAACTGTTTTGTAGATGTCGTAGATAAGTATTTGTAGATGTTGTAGATAAGGATTTGTGTAGATGATGTAGATAAGAGGACTCACTGACTCCGATGGGCCTCCGACATGCGGCACAGCAGTAGTTCTGGGAGTCGAGCCCTCTCTCGGGGACCAGTTTGGTGAGGAGAGAGGTGAGGGTTCTGTGGACGGGGCCACCTGTCTTCTCTGATACCACCTATAATAGTAGGAGGAGGGGGAAGGGAGAAGGATGTCCATTGACGACACGTGTAATACGCACCCTCCAGTAAAACAGTTGGATACATTGAAAATGTCTCTTGTTGGGTGGTTGTGCTCATTATGTGACAGAACCAAGTGTGTTTTGTGTTCTTGGGTGGGGGAGGTTCTTTCTTTTCCTCTGATAAACATGTTTTTTCATGATTATCGATAGTAACATTGTGTGTGAATATACACACCTCAAAGTCTAGAGATTTGGCATAGGAAAAGTCCTCAGATCCCTGTCCTCTGTTGCCACGCCCACCACCAGCAGAGCTACGACCTTGTGGTGCCCCTCCTTCCTCCTGTTGTGATGCTGCCTGGGGAGGAGGAAATGAGCTAATTGACTCCCCTCCCTCCCTCCCCACTCTTGCCAACCTCTCTGGAGATGATCTGGGTCTCTGAAGACTGAGAGAGAGATGAGGATCGCGAGTAGCGGCCGAGAGCCATGTTGACCACACCCACTCCAAACGAGGTCGGAGGTGGACTCACTCTCTCTCCGTCTGTGGGTCAGAGGAATGCAATTAACCCCCTGAAATAAGTCCTTTTTTGTATACCGTGCTCTAATATGTTGTTGAAACCTGAAATAAGGCATCTCACGATTAGTCTATTTTCTTCTGTCCCATTGGTTTATTTAAAAAACCTGAAATAAGTAATACAGACACTTTCTTCTGTCCCATTGGTGTCTGGATTAGAGAGGTTCAACATGTGTATTTTCAGCAACTCATGTCATGTAAACCTACATACACACCTCTCCTGGTGTTTGGGGAAGATGAGTCCTGCCAAATCCCTGCCTTCTGTAGCACCTGTGAACACACACACACACACACAGAAGTAGTAAAAAAAGAGAAGTTTGTCACTGATAGCTGTCTGCAAAAGTTTCTGCGAACCGTACGGGCACAGACATTATATAACATGACCCAACAATCTGAGAATGTTTTCAATATGAAAGCCACCAAAAATGAGAATTTGACAATTTAAACCCTACATACCACTCCCATCCCTAATGACCTGCTGTTGTTTTATCATCAAAATGATTACTCACAGAGCTGTCCCAAGTTGTAAGAGATGAGATTGTGTAGTCATAGCCCAGTTGAATAGTGGACAGTCCTGAATAGAACGGAGCAGATGAGTAATCGTCCAATCCATGGATTGGACAGAGTATTGCCCAATCCATGGAGTTATTGTCCAATCGATGGACAGAGTTATCATCCAATCCATGGATTGGACAGAGCAGTGTGTGTATATATCAAATATACCTCTCAAAAGTTGAATGACAATTTCTAGTCTCTCGGCATCTCTGAGCACAGATTCCCCGCCGTAATGGAACCTTGGAAAGAAAGTGAGATGATTAGTACAACCTCTTAATAAGGGACACCTTTTTATTAAGTAATTAGACCAATTTGACAATGCTCAAAAGTAAAACTTGGTAGTGCACCTTTACAATGTGCTACATATGTATTTGCCTTAAAAAAGAGAGAATGTGTTCTACTCCCATACTAAGAGTACAAATAGAATCTCTGAAACAGACCTTCACTGATGAGAAGTAAAACTTTGGTAGTGCAGCTTTAAAACGTGCTATATAATATGTGCTAGAGAAAGTGTGTGTGTGTGTGTGTGTGGTAACTGACGAGAGGAGTCCAGGATGTCGCTGAAGGTCCTCCAGAAATGACAGGAGGAGAGATTTATTGAGCATTATCCTCAGCCAAGACTGCAGCAAGAGAGAGAGGAGAGAGAGGAGAGAGAGAAGGGAGGGAGGAATGGATACGGATATATAAGAATGCAATACACAACTTCCCATACATCTATAAGGCTAGGTACAATGCCCATCCCTATATACTAAGTACTACCATACTTAGTGATAGAACGAATGCCGTTGGTGAGTAAACTAGTGAAATTTCGTATGTGAAGCATTACAGTATGGATAGTTTCACTGTATAACATGGAAGAAGAAGGAGGGAGAGAAGAAGAAGGGAGAGAATCAGAACTCACTCTACATTTCATGACGTCAGATTCGGAGTCCCTGAGAGCCATTAGCTGTGTCTTGATCTCGTCTGACACCATTGGCTCTATGAACACCCAGAATGACTGGAGAGAATGGTGTATAGTGGGAGAGGGGAGAGGGTGAAGAAGCAAGGCATTGGATCTAGGTTGCTATTCCACCCTCCAAATATAGCCTGAGTATTGGGGATGGTTGGTTTGTCATTTCGTTTACTCACGTGCCTGCAAAAAATGCAAAACCGTTCAAACCCTTTTTAGGACCTTCGTATGAGAACTATCACAAGTTTGAAGAAGAAATCAGTAGACAGAGGAGAGGGAGAGAGAGAGAAACTAACAGGTTGTGGAGGGTTGATCATATTGGGTCTCCTTGTCCCGCTCCACAACTGACCCTGTGAATTGAGGGAGACAGACAGAACTCCCCTCGTCACACAATGATCACTTCTTTACACAAACACAAAATGGGTGGGAATTGCCATTCAGTTGTTGGTTCAGGCAGGCAAGAGGTTAAATGGGACCAATACTTTCTCACGTTTTCTCTATTCATTGACTGTATATTTCATTCAGTTGAATTGACACGTATTATAACCAAATGGATTTTCATTGCCACATACACATTCGTTTTAGCATGCAACTGCTGAAGACTTCTTGTGCAGTGAAAAATATCATAAAGTCAACAACAAGATACACATCTTTTTCCACTTTCATCTTCAACGACTCTTGCATGCTAACTCATTCAGACATTCTCCAAGACAAATCCTCCGATGTGACGTTGGGATTGGCGGAATGATAATTTTTATATACCTTTTCATTTTTGAGGTCTAGAAGAAAGACAATTTCGAGAACTTTGCAGAGTGTGTCGGCATCTTGGCTTTTACTGAGAGAGAAGAAGAGGGAGAAGAGGAGGGATGGGGAAGGAAGGCAGTAAAAGAAGAAAGAAAGAGAGAGGGGTTGAGTTGTGGGAGTAACAGCAAAACAAGTAGTGAGAAGAAGAGGAAAGGAATAGGGATAAAGAGAGAGGGAGGGATTATATTCTCAGGTGAATGGAGAGCGTGAATACAGCAATCACACCACAATAGTACAATGCAGTGACCCACCATCTTTACTACTGCATAACCAGATCCAACAGAGAGCCACTGACTGCGTACAATGCTAATGTATGTACATACTTTCTATATATAGGACAATCTCTTGTGAGGACATCGTAATATAGTCATTGCTATATGCTTATCCTAAGCAATTCAGATCATAACTACTACCTACCACTCACCTCTGCGGACTCGTCTTCTTCAGGACGTGCTCACCTTGCAACTGAGGCGAGCATCAGAGGCAAGCGGAAAAGTGAAAATCTCTGAACGTCTCGCAGTCTCACCTTTTTGACCGCAGCCGCCAGCTCCCGACACAACTGCTGCCTCGTCTCCTCCATCTTCTAGCTTCTGGCTACCTCTCTACTGACCTCTCTGATCACACACAAACACCTCTTTGCTTCTCGAGGAGTAGGCGTGGTCTACTATCAGCTATTACGTCATGTGTTTCTATGACCTTTGCACCCTTCATTTTGCACGCTGGTGCAGTGGTGACTTCGCCCACTCTTATCTCCTTGAGGCCCTCCTGTAGAGCGACTCTGAGCGAGGTAGCCATGTCGTGGGTCGTCCTCGATGTGCTGGTGCACGTGATCAAGCCCCTCTGCTTGACAGAGATGGAGACTCGTACAGGTCGGTGGGTAAACCCCTGCAATTAGTGGCTCATTTACACCAGTACGTTTGACCTAATGCTCCCAATCACAAGAATATCCTATAACTGGTAAAAAAACGCGGCATTTAAAGTTTCAGAAGATGTTCTGTCTACTGTTTACATGTACTGGCAAAGCCTTGTGGGGATGAGTTCAAAACCACAAGTGCTGCGCTCAACTTAGCCTTTATACACTCGTGGTGCCTGAGAGAGAAGTTGTGGTATGCTCCGCTGATGAGGGCCAACAAGCCAGAAACAGCTGTCCAGAGCTCAGCATCTTTTTTCTCTTGGCATCACATGGTGTATTGTTTCATGTGTATACTGGTATGACATTGTGTATGTATGTGGGAAGGAAAACAGTCTTATTTGTCTGTATTATATATGTATAGGGAGTACTGTATGTATTGTATTTGTGGAGGGAGTGGAGAGTGGGAAGGAAAGGAAACAGTGTACAGAGTGAGAGCTCCAGCCAATACACCACTGTCCTATCTCTCCCCCACAGGTCCCCGTGGAGTAACAAATACGACCCTCCCCTGGCTGACGGAGCCGTCCCCAGCGACTGACTCCGGAGACTGGAGATCGAGGCGAACCAGGCTTTTGACACTTACAGAGAATTGTTAGTGGAGGGAGGAGGTGGGGGTAGGGGTAGGGCAGCAGTAGAGGGGAGATGGGGATGGTTAGAGCAAGATACTGCAAAGAATGCAAAATTGTTGAAACCCTCATGGGTGTGGGGTTGCAACTTATTTTCTACACAGAAGAACCAAGTGTCCTCTACTTTGAGGATTCTTTTCAGAGGTTTCACTGTAGCTCTTCCTCCCACCTTTATCCTCCCACTCTGTTTCTCCAGGTATTTTGAGGATGCTGGGACTCAATCCACGTGGTGGAGGTCCAGGTGTGTCCTGTAGGACGTCCTATAGGACACCCAGACTCTCGTGCCCCCTCTGTTACAGGAGGAGGCACAGGGTCCAAAAAAAGCCCACTACAAGCTGACGTCGACGGTGATGCTGTGGCTCCAGACGATCAAGGCTGACTCTGGGACCATCAATCTCGGAGGATCCCTCACTCGGCAGGCAGAGAGCAACCACGCCATCTCTGACGCAAGCCCCCACATTGCCAACATCGGGAGAATGGTGGAGGTAGGTCACGTGACAGTCACATGATCTGGTGGGAAGTGACCACACCCCCTCTCATTCCCCCAGGACATGGAGAACAAGATGAGACAGACGTTGAACGAGATCTATTTCGGGAAGACAAAGGATGTTCTTAACGACCTCAGGTTGGTGGGCGGAGCTTGACCTTTGTACCTACTACATGTAGAGCGTGTGCTGTTACCACAATATGAAGTGTGTTTGTAGCTCAGGTTGTAGCAATGCTTTGATTTTTGCACCTATTTTCCAAATGTGCTTCCCCACTTCAAACCAAAGTGAAGTGTTTATGCTAAACATGTAAACAACAATGGCAAAGGCAAAAACAACACAACGGCACCCAGGACAACCGAAAGAATGAGCAATTTTGTGACTGAAGTTTGTTCTACACATCTCTCTCTCTCTCACTCTCCTCTCCAACTGCAGGTCTGTAGGGGACTTGAAACTGGCTAACAAACAGCAGCTGAACTGAAGGAACGGATGCACGCGAGCTAATTCCTCTACACGCGTGCAAAACCCTCTGCCACGCGCGCTAGACGTTTGTTCTAGTTTTCAACACATGACTAATTAATTGCACACTCTACAGCTATCGTCCACTGTACAGTGTTAGACAGACCAGAGGCTGCCTGGCCGTCTGGGTGAATTTATTGATTTTCAAGCCGATAACTTATAGTTGGTGTTTCTTGTACACATACAGATTGTTTGTTGTTTACAGTAATTATCAATATTGTGTACTGTGTGTTCTTAGAGAGATTTCCTATAATTTTGATATAATTATATGTGGGAAGTTATACATTACACTAATGTACTAAGCTAAGTGTCGTTTGTAGAGAGGTGTGCTTTATTTGGAGGATTCTTCAAAATCGTTGAAACTAGGGGAGGGAACTGCAATATTATTGGAGTGGTGGAATAAAACTAGAGGAGTAATGAATACTTAATAGAGAAATGGACACAAACATAAACAGTGACAATTATGACAGGGAAAGAGGTTGATGATTTCACTAGGCTAGAGGAAGTTAGTTTTTGTACGCATGCGCAATAAAATTGAGGATTACGAGGGAAACTTCTCCAAATAAGGCATCCTGCAGCTACGCCCCCTTTCTATCTTTGTGCCCACAAAACGCCCCTTCTTCGTTTCTCTTCCTAACTCACATCGAGCAGTCGTGTTGGTGCCCAGAGATGGCTACTGGAGGAGGGGACCTAGTCTGGACGTGGAAGAAACGTAAGACAGTCGCCGCGAGCCGCGCCCCCACGTAGGAAATAAAATGATAACTGTTAGGTTATGACTGCTCAGTGAATGATGATGATGGTATTGTCTGATAGGTTGGGAGAGATGACGTACTTTTTATTTTTGTATGACGTCATCACGGCTGTATCGAAAAGGATCTTGTAAATGTTTGATCAAAATTTTTGTTAGTGATGATGTCATTGTCTTTCCTCGCAGCACTCCCTCCAAGTAAAACCACACTCAGGAAGGTCTTTGAAAACGCCAGTAACATCAGCTACCTCTGCGACCGTCTCTCCATCCCTGATGATAAGAGCGATGTTGACAGTGCAGTAGAGTACTATGTACAGAGTACAGATCCAATGAAAATGAGAAGGATGATATTCTGGCTGGACATGGTTGGAGACACAGTTCTAGCAGACTCATTGATGGAGTATGCAGAGCCCCCAGCAGGTATAGCTACAATAGAGAACACAACACAGCCAGTCAATTGTATACCTCTGGCTATATTGAAACCCACTACAGCATGAGCTGTGTGTACATCATCAGGGGTTCATTTAGAAGTCAATCCAAGGGGGGGGGGGGCAAAATGAGTAATTGTGAAATGAAAAGCACTGAAGTGCAAACCCTCGGCGCTCTGTGACGCGCACGCGTAAGTAAACGCATGCGCCGTACCACTAATTGATAAGCTGGGTTTAGTTTTAGCTGTTACTCGTGGTCTCTTGCCAGCTCGCGCAGAGTCTGATGTGGGCTAACTACACTACTAGATAGCATGCGAGAGGCGATACACGCCCTGTGTTGCATCTTCTGGTGCCTCCGAAGTACGCAGAGCACGCGGATCGATCAGACCGCGGTAAGCCATCCCGTCCGTTTCGTATTTGCATATTGGCTTTTTCGCGCTCTAGCTTTGCAACGGACCATTTTCAGAGAAAACCTCCTTTATTTTCTGACCTTCGTCGCCCGTTGGGTAGATGGTATCGTTTCTGGGACGAACAGACGTTCGAGGAGTGAGATGTAGTGTCGGGTTATGATAATTATTACGACGACAATACACGTAGAGAGACACAACGTACACCAACCGAAAATGAGCACGACTGAAACTGCTGACAGTTCTAGAGTTATATATCCAGTTAACCACGTGGTCCGTTTGTCTGCTCATGCGCACCACATCACTCCCCAGTGACAGGCTTAGGGAACGATGCTCATGAGACGGTCTGGGAAATGGACTCGTCGTCCTGAACGTGTGGTCCTTGCTGGTGTAGTGTTGGCGGAGGTGAGAGAAGGTGCAGGAGGTGGTGTGGCGGGCTGTGGTTGGGGTAAACTGTCCACATGAGCTGGCTTCAGACGATCCAGGGAAACTTTGTCAGTGCGACCATTCAGTTGCAGTGTAAAGTACTTGGAGTCCCGTTTTAGCACTTTAAAGGGGCCTTCATAGGGGGATTGAAGAGGTTTGCGGACTGCGTCTGTGCGGACAAAGACATGAGTGCAAGTCGAAAGATCTTTGTGGACATATGTGTATGGCTGTGACGTCGCTCTGGGTGGAACAGCTCTCAGTGTGCGCATTGCGGTTTTGAGGGCAGTAAGTAACGTTGAACTGTCGCCAGTAGCAGGTGAGGTGTCTTGAAGGAAAAATTCACCTGGTAGACGTAGTGTCCTCCCATACACTAGCTCTGCAGCGCTACATTGTAGGTCGGTCTTGAGGGCGGTACGGATCCCTAGGAGGACCAACGGAAGGGTCTCAATCCAGTGTGAGGAGGATGAGTGGGCCTTGAGAGCGGATTTAAGTTGCCGGTGAAAACGTTCAATTATCCCGTTCGCGATTGGGTGGTAGGCGGTTGTGCGGAGGTGCTTGCAGCCGAGGAGTTGGAGAAGTTTGGACCATAGCCGTGACTCAAATTGCCGACCACGGTCGGTGGTGATCGTCGATGGCACTCCGAAACGTGCAATCCAACCGGAAGTGAACGTTAGAGCTACAGTGTCTGCAGTCATGTCTGGCATTGGGAAGGCCTCAGGCCATCGAGTGAAGCGGTCGATACACGTGAGCAAGTAGAGGTGTCCGTGGGAAGGGGGAAGGGGGCCGACAATGTCGATATGTATTTGATCAAATCTGGAATCAGGGGTTTTGAAGGTGGAAAATGGAGTTACTGTGTGGCGCTGAATCTTGGACCGCTGGCAGGGTAGGCAAGTTCGGGACCATGCTCGGATGTCTTTTCTCATCCCTGGCCAAACAAATCGTGTAGCGATAAGCTGGCGAGTTGCTTGTTCTCCGGGATGAGACAGGGAGTGTAATGCGTTGAAGACAGTGCGGCGAAGTGGAGAGGATACAAATGGGCGGGGTGTGCCTGTACTCATATCGCAGACGATGGTGGTTGAGGAAGCAGGGAGAGGAAGAGATTGCAGCTGGAGAGAGGTTGACGTGGAGTTTTGCAGGGCCCCGAGTTCTGGGTCGGTTTCCTGAGCCTTTGCCAACACCTGGAGATCAACAGTTGGCGGTTGTGTTGCATTGAGGGAACACACGGCATTGCGGGAAAGGGCATCGGCAACCACATTGTGGTGCCCTGCAACGTGACGGATATCGGTTGAGAATTGGGCAATGTAGTCCAGGTGGCGTATCCGACGCGGCGTGTACTTGTCAGAGGCAGTTGAGAGGGCAAAGGTCAGTGGTTTGTGGTCGGTGGCGATGTAAAATTCACGACCTTCCACAAAGTGTCTGAAGTGCTTGATTGCCAGGTATATTGCTAGGAGTTCGCGATCAAAAGTGCTGTAACGTGTTTCTGCTGGTCGGAGCTTCTTTGAAAAGTATGCGATCGGTTGCCAGTCGTCATCGATCTGCTGTAGCAGGACTGCACCCACAGCTGTATCTGAGGCATCAGTCATAACACATGTCGGCGCGAATGGCTTGGGGTGGGTGAGTAGGGTGGCGGTAGCGAGCGCCTCCTTGATGTTGATGAAAGCGGTTGTAGCAGCCTCGGTCCACTCAAGTGTGCGATCTTTTCCGTGGGGCGTGGCAAGCAGGTTGTTGAGTGGCCCTAAAATGGAGGCACAATGTGGAATGAAACGATGATGAAAGTTGACAAGCCCCAGGAACTCACGTAATTTCCGCAGCGACATTGGCATGGGGAAATCAGTGATGGCTTTAACCTTTGTGTCGGATGGTCGGATACCCTGGGAGCTAACAGTGTGTCCAAGGAACTCTAGCTCTGACACTCCGAACCTGCACTTGGAAGGGTTAATGATGATGCCATGTTCAGAGAGACGTTGGAACACTTGCCGAAGATGCTGCTGATGCTCTTCAGGGGATGAACTGGCAACGAGGAGGTCGTCTATGTAAGCGTAGCAGAAGGGTAACCCATGCAGGACCTGGTCGATGAAGCGTTGGAATGTTTGTGCAGCATTGCGGAGGCCGAATGGCATGCGCAAGAACTCGAAAAGACCAAACGGAGTAATTACTGCTGTTTTTGGGACGTCCTGTGGCTCAACTGGTATCTGGTGGTAGGCGCGGATGAGGTCGATTTTGGAGAAGATGTTGGTGCCGTTGAGGGAAATGGAGAAATCCTGTATGTGTGGGATGGGATATCTGTCTGGGACGGAGGCATGGTTAAGCGCCCGATAATCCCCACATGGGCGCCAGTCTCCCGATTTCTTGGGCACCATGTGTAAGGGAGAGGACCAATTGCTTGACGACGGTCGGATGATTCCGAGCTCGAGCATGTGGTCGAACTCCTGGCGGGCGATTTTCAGGCGTTCTGGGGAGAGACGTCGGGGTTTGGCCGAGACTGGGGGGCCATTAGTTGGAATGTGATGAGTGACACGGTGTTTGATTGGCAGCGTGCCAGCGGGCGGGAGGGAGACTGCGGGGAATTCGAGAAGAACAGCATCGAAGGGTGTGGAGGGTGCTTTGGGGAGAGGGGATGGACTCGGGGAGTTTGATGTGGCTTGGATTCCCTGCACCATCAGGTTAGTGACACAGTCTACGAGGCGGCGTTTACTCATGTCAACCATCAAACTGAAGTGTTGCAAGAAATCAGCGCCGATGATTGCATTGGCAATGTCGGCAACAACGAAAATCCAGCGGAAGGTGCGTCGAAGGCCGAGGTTCAGGGTGAGGGATCGAGTACCATAGGTACGGATGGTGGTACCGTTGACGGCTTGAAGAGTGAGGGGGTTGGGGGAGGGTCTGTCCTTCGGAGAGGGTGGAACCACGCTTACTTGGGCGCCTGTGTCGATGAGAAACTGAAGGCCGAGGTTGCGATCTGTGATATAGAATAAGCGACAGAGATGAGGGCCAGCTACGTCTGCCGCGTCTACGTACTGGCCTTCCCGTTTCCCGAGTAGGAGCAGGGGGGTGTGCATTTACGGGCCATGTCGCCGAAGCGCGCGTGGTACCAGCACATGGAGGTGGGAGGCGGGTGTGGAGGCGGTGACCGGGGTCGGAAGGGACGACGGCGAGGAGAGGGGGAACGTGTCCTGGTGGATGTGGAGAGGGCGGAGACTCTGTCGCGGAGTTGGGATAGTTCTGAACGGAGTTCTTCAACCTCGCGTGATGGCTCAGGTTGAGTGACACCTGAAACCCCCGGTGGGCCAGCTGCAATGATGTTGTCTCCGAGTTCCGCGAGTTCCTCGAGTGTTTTCGTGTCGCCGAAGGAGGCTAAGACCATACGGACATTGCCAGGGAGACGTTGGAGAAATAGCTCGCGAAGGAGTTTCGCGTCGGCGTCCGCAGCACCGCCTCCCAGCAGTTGTTGCATGCCACGGAGAAGTTGCGTGGGTCTCTGATCTCCCAACTCGGTGGAGCTGAGTAACTGCTGGAGGCGCCGTTGTTCTGGGAGGGCGGTGCGGGTGATGAGTTGGCGTTTGAGCGTGTCGTACGGTGTCGTGTCTGGGATGCGGAGGATGAGGTCCCGGACCTGGGTCGCAAATTCGGGCGAGAGAGAGGCCACCACGTGCTCATACTTTGTTTTCTGTGAAGTTATGCCGCGGGTGGAGAACTGAGCCTCAACTTGCGCGAACCACAGATCC